TTTGATTTATTTAAGAATACATTGAAAAAGTCAATCAATTGTCTTATTCAGAATCACTTGGAATGTCTTGTAGTGTCTTATATCTTTTTCTTCTGTGCCATGCTTCTGAAAAAAAAAAATTATCTTACATTCATATATAAACTTCTTGCACATTCCTTTATTATAGAACGATTCACGTTGCCTGAAGGATATACATCCCCTCCCCTTTAAAGTTTTGAAACAAATAACGATGATAGTCTGTCGGAAGGGGACGATAAATGGCTGACCGTGTTAAGAGAGAGCAATATGCCACGCTGAACTTCATTTAGTTATTAAAAAAAAAACACATAAAGAACTTAAGACTAGATATGTGTCCAGTCAAGAGTCTTATTTTATTATACTCGTTGATTGTTGTCTATCATGTTTTTTTTCTTTTATTGTTTTGTATAAACCAGGCTGTTGTTTTTCTTGTTTTTTTTTAGTTTTCAATAAATGCATTGTATCATGTAGGGGCCTTTAAAAGCCCTGCTACATAATGTCATTAAACATCTTATTGTCCTTTTTAAGTGTTAAACTCTGTAGAGTGACATAGTTTATAACTTGTCATTTGTATCTAAGGGCATATGATACAGTCCTAGAAGTATACTATAGGCACATAATAACTTATCGAAGTGTTATGCATTGTTTTCGCAATGATGATAATAATATAACTTAACTTCCGAGAAACACACAGATGTCATTAAATGAGTTGTTTATATGTATTTGAAATACTTCAAAGGAAAGCAAATATGTTGTTTATGAAAGCACACTGTTGGACTAAAAGATTGATTTAAATAAACAACTTGTTTCTATTTTGTCACAAAAAAAAATAATTTATTCAAATATCCAGATATCTTTTCTGTATTGTATGCCCTAAATCTTGAATGTAATGCATTGTTTAGGCTAAATATTTGAATTAAATATGGAATAACAGTAATTCTGTATGAAAATCTTACTTCAAAAAAAAATTCTCCTGAAAGGTTGTAGACATTCCAAAGAACCTGCGCCACTTCCAAATTGTAAACCTGCATATTGAACTTGACCTTTGTGGCTTTTCTTTTAGCTCCTGTTAAAAAATAAAAGATGCATTGTATGTACATTGTGTGTATGAAGCAATAAATATAATTTTAAGCAACAGTTTATATTATCTTGCTTGTACTGAAGTCTTACATAGTCTTTGTAATGTTCATTAAGCTGTTAAGGGAAATTTAATTTACTGTTTTGCAAATACATACATACACTGATTTTACTAGAAAAAAAATCTCCATATTCAAATGGTGCTTATATTAGTGTTATTGTAACTTGTTTGTGTGCCTCGGAAACAAGGTATTGAGTCATGCTTATTGCAATAGTTGTTGTTGGTTTAAGTCTGTCAAATTTCTTTTTCATAATGTGTATTTAATGTAGGCAGTTAGTTGTTTTGTTTCAATTGTGTTGAGAAAAATTTAACATTTGTTTTTCAAGGCTTCAAAGTGGACTATATGGCATTGGTTTTCCCAGTTTTGAAAGCCGTACAGTGACCTATAATTTCTTTTATCCAAGTCATTTAAATTCTGGTGGATAGCTGTCTCATACACCTTATCTCTATTTCAGTATTTGGAAATCTGTCCTGTTTGAACTTTTTACGTCAGCATACGTCATACAATAATACACCTTATCGCTATTCCCGCTTGACCCGAGAATCTATCCTGCTTTAACTTTTGACGTCAAACAACAATCACTTTTCCATTGTGGCATCAGATATTTTTTATGATGACGTCAAAATTTTAAGGGAACTTGTGACAGTTGTGTGATGTCCAATAATGGCGGACAAATAGCGATAAGGTGTATTACTTCAATTGTGGTGTCAAATATTTTCTAATATGACGTCAATATTTTATGGGAACTTTTGTGATGTCCATGGCCAGTAATGGCGGACAAATAGCGATAAGGTGTATTGGCAATCAAACACACAAGCCACATATCCTTATATATAATTTTTTTATATCAATGAACAAATTCATAATTGGTGTACGTAGATGCTTGAACAGTGGCGGATTTAGGGGCCCCGACCCCCTTATGGAGCTACTTATAAGATAAATGTATAAGACTATTTACAAGTATCACTCCAAACGTTTGCTTGCCTTGGGCAGGGGGCCCCCTTTTTTAAAAACCTTGATCCGCACCTCCAGAAACAGATGTAATTTGGTTCCGATTATGATTGAACACACACAATGAATGCGCAAGTTTCATCTTAACAGATTAATCATTCTTACCAAGTGAGTATATATCGCGTAGCAAACAATTTTCTTGGCTCTCTTTGTTGATATCCTGTCTTCGTTTCGAAATTCAAATTTCAAAATCATTTCCGGTGATAAAACAAAAGTCGATTCCGGAAATGGTCGGTTTTCCGTAAGTCATATAAACGATACGAAAATTGAACTTAGTACAGTTACAGTTTTCATTTCTTAATTTCTAAAATATACACGAACGAAATGAATAAACATTAAAGAAAGGTGATTGTTTATTAATACATTATTGCTTAATTTAATGTTGACTCTTTTGAATTTTAATATAAGAAGGAATAAAATCTGACTTCAAGGATCTTCAAGATATCAATTAAGGATTTCAACCATTGTATCTTGCTTGTCATGATATTGATGAAATGTAGTACTATATCTTATCCTAACAAAAACGAGCTAATTCCACAAAACGTTGTTTGTGGGGTTTTGAATAAAGTTTAAATAAAATGTTATTTTTATATCCGTAAAATGTTGAATAAAATATCAGTAAGACTATTAAGTAATGTGTATGTCAGAATATTTTATAGAAAACATTTAGCTGATATTTTTCAGATGTTTTATGTAAAACATTTTAATTTTACGTTATAAAACATTTTATGCAAATAGCAAAACTACATTTTCTGTAAAACATTTTTTTGCAGAATGTTTTTTGGATATTTGGAAAATATTTACTTTAAATGTTGTTAAAATATAAAATACCACTTGAAGAAAATATTATTTTTTTATATTATAAAATATCTACGGGATAATATTTAATTTAATATTTTTGAAAAATGCATTTATATATTCAGCATGTAATGTAGTAAACTTTATTGTCAATTTTACAACAAATGCAGATATATAGTTTAAGATAGTTTCAAATTTCTGACGAAACATTTTCGAGACGAGAAATCTCAAATGTTATATCGACAAAATGCAATATATTTTTTTTTTGCAATACTGTTCAATATGCATGGAGTCTCTGCTTTTCTAAAATCTGAGAAATTTTGATCTGTATTTCAACAAGTAGCTATTTTGTGTTATGAAGGCGGGGCACAAACGTCACATATTTCAAATATATGCATGGCTATTTACTATCATAATGTTTTGTATTACGATTTAAAAACTATTTCCAACCAATGTCACAATCACTAAACTTGTTAGTCCCATTGTTTTTTTGTTGTTGGATACCCTCGGGACCTTTAAATGAACCTCATTCAAGTATATGTTCGGCGTGCGCTGTTCAGATTCGTTATTTACAAAGACAAATAAAAGAACACATTAACACGTTATTAAGATGATAAACAACGTCAGTACCTAGAATCTATACTTCAAGACCATAATGTATTTTTTGTGAAGTTGATACGGAATATTTTCAACAAGGTCTTGGTATTTTCGATGAACTTTTTTAGAAAAAGGACGAGACGTTCTTTGAAATAACACTGGTTCACGAAAATCCATGTTTGAAATATCCAAAGAAGTCAGATTATTAACAAATGCCTGTGAGTCTTTCGATGCTTTTAAAGAATCATTTTAGAAACCTGTTGATCGCTATTTCTGTACTTCATTCGGATAGGGTCGAATTGCTATATTTATGAAGACGAGAATTGACGTATGAACTATATCAACTTTTAGATAGTTCTACATTGGGATAGTCTTGAATTTCGGGCATTACATTCTTAATACGAAAATCCATGTTTGAAATATCGAAAGAAGTCATATTATACAAATGCCTGCGATTCTTGGGATTCTGTTAAAGAATCCTAAAAACTTGTTGATGGGTTTTTTTTTTGTACTTCATTATGATATAGTGGAATTCCTTCATTATGAAGACGAGAATTAACGTAGGATCTATTGATACAGGCAACATTGTTAACTGCAATAGGGATTCTCGGATGTTCTAAAAACGGAAGAATTATTTTGCAATACTGTTCCATATATGCCTGGAGTTTCTGTTTTTTTCTAAAATTTGAGAAATTTTGATCTGTACTTTAACAAGAAGCTATTTTGTATTATGAATGCTGTTTAGAACTATATCAGCTTTTAGATAGTTCTACATTTGTATACCCAGCAGGCATTTCAACGTTGAAACAACGTTGAATCAACGTTGATCTGTAACGTTGAAAAGACGTTGAAATAATGGTTGGTTTTGAAAGTTGACACAACGTTGAATATCTGACGTTGAAACAACGTTATATTTTCAACATTGTATCAACGTTGATTTTTGATTGAATATAGGTTGAAACTTAACATTGAAACAACGTCACCCTAATATTGCAACAACATTCTTTCATGTTGAAATAAGCAATGCGTTGCTTGTTGTTGGTTCATCTGTCACATATGTGTTTGTCGTTAAAAATTTAGGCGGTTGGTTTTTCTCGTTTGAATTGATTATTGAAGGGTTTATTGTGTCCGGGTCTTCTATTGCGGTCTATACGGTGTGGTGTGTGCTTATTGTTGAAGTCCGTTTAGTTACCTCCACGTCAATTGGACTCTGGTGAATATTTGTCTCATTGGAAATCATACCACATCTTCTTATATATATAATAGTTAGTAACCACACAAGATATTGAAGCCACATGACTCTACAGAGGACATCAGCAAGATTTAAAAAAAAAACAGTACAACAGATGTCAAGTTATGACAAAAGCTAAATTAAATATAGCCAAAAGATGATCTGGTAAATGAATACAAATAATCTCTTAATCAATTTTAATTATTTTCGTGAAAATGAATTGTAGTCTCTAAGCTCCTCCAACCATTTCTGGTGCACAATCCTTCTTTAATTCAGCTTCTGTTATTTTTGTGTAGGCCTCCATTACTCTTCCTGAAAAAACAAACACAAATAATATTTTGTATACATGATTTAGCAATTACGTAGAACGTCAAAGGCAGGGAATAAAATGTTATATAGGCCAGGTTTTTTTTAAAAATAATTTACTGGTTTATATAATAGTGGATCCGTTTTTACCATTTTTTTCGCTCCTGTACATGTACAATGTAGCAATGCCGCCTATCTCGAGCACCACGATCTATTGTTCAAATGCCACCTATTTCGGCCACCACGATCTATTGTAACAATGCCACCCATCTCAAGCATCAGGATCTATTGTAACAATGCCACCCATCTCGAGCACCAGGATCTATTGTAACAATGCCACCCATCTCGAGCACCAGGATCTATTGTTAAAATGCCACCTATCTCGAGCACCAGGATCTATTGTACAAATGCCACCCATCTCGAGCACCGGGATCTATTGTAACAATACCACCTGTCTTATTAATTGCAGAGGTTATGTTTTAAATTTGATATGCATTAAAAAAAATATTAATCCAAATAAAATCAAATCAAATCAAATGTCTTTACAGGGCTCGACAATAACGCTTGTCCGATTGTCCGGTACCAGAGGAAAAAAAGGTCGGACAAGTTAAAGCTAGATCAAGGTTGTCCGACGGGACAAGTAAAATCATTTTGTAGACAGTCAATTAAATCCAACTTTGATGAACAAAGTATTGAGTAATAAACAAAAAACAAGAAAAGATAAAAACAAATATTAATTTGACATGTTTACCATGTTTACTTGCAATCGATAATTTAAAACTGGTTCTTTGACAGATACTTTATATCAGATAAAACGCGTAATATTCTCGGAAACCAGTCTTAGATGAAATCAAGAATGCCTTTGTAGATAAGGTAACAAGACAGTTCGGCACCAGCACGGAAACCAATCCTTCCATGTTTAATAGACAGTATGGAGACATTTCGGGACCAAGCCAACCAGTACCTCATTTCCCTACCTTTTTCTGTTGCTTATAATAAATATGATAAATTTTATTTAACAAAAATATTTTTTTAAATAAAAAATGAAGAAATTATTGACCATAAAATACACAGAATCATATTTGATCATATGTAGACAAAACAATACTTGATTGCGTTTGAATAAACATTTTAATATATTAAAAACAAAGCTGTTTGTTGTAAGGCATTAATCATAATAATCAATATTTTACCAACATGAAAGACCAGGATACAAACCAAATGAGTGTAGACTGACAGGCCTACCAGACTGTGCCTCATGTGCAGAGTCTGATGAGACTTTGGCATTGATGAAAACTAGAACCTAAATCCTGTGACATGACTTGATTCAGTTGTTCTCGACTCATATTTTTGAAAAGGATATCAAGAGATATAAATCAAATTCTATTCTTATGTTCATTGAATCAACTTAAAATGCAAAAAAGGTTAATATTAAGGTTTTTTTTTTGGACAAGTTACAATTTCATTCGGACAAGTAAGTTTTGATGTGTACTTGTCCTATTGGGCAAGTTGAAAAAAAAGTTATTGTAGAGGCCTGCTTTACTAGTATTCCTAATTAAAGGGTCCATATAGAGCATATAAATCAATACAAATCACAAAGTTCACACAAACAACACAGGCAATCCAACATACATACTGATTATTGATAATCAAAAATGTTAAAAAAAAATTTAAAAATACATACCTTGACAGCTATTACTTTTATCCTTAAATCTTTCTTTCCTAAGTTACTGATCTGTCTCTAATACCTGTGCAAAAAATAAGAATAACATCGATCATCATTGCCATTTTTTTAAATTTGTAAAATTCGATTGAAGAGTAAAAAGAAATTATTAAAAATTTCAGAGCATAGTTGACAATAATTAAAAAAGTGTGATTATGGATGACGGGTTAAAATTTTAGATTAAAAAGGGGTAGATGATAATCTTGCTTCGCAAAAGTTCCTTTTCTTTAACAAATCAGCAGTAAATAACTAAAATGAACTGTATTTAGGCTGAGTATGGTGTTTCCAGATTGTAGTACATATTTATATAGAAGTGCAGTCATAAATTTGAACGTACAACAAAAAAGACGATGTACACACTGCAGTTAGTAATGTTATCTTTAGGGGACGACCATTTGATATTCTGGGGGGGGCCAGGAGGATTTGTTTTGGATCGGTTATTTATTTTTGTAAACTAAGAGGACAGATTATTTATTTTCTGCACTGTTGAAGCAAGATTTTTCATTTTCATTAAAACAAGGGACTGATTATTTATTTTCATAACTATATTAATAATATTTGAAAACATACAATTTTTTAACTCATTTTTTATTATAAATAATACATGTACCATTAATGTACCATTTAATCAGAATTAATCATCATCCTCTGCGGAAATGAATCTTCTGAATTCCCAACTGCATATACATGTATTGCATACATCCATGGTATTAGAGTTGGGCTGTGACTAGTCTCTTTTAAAAGTATTGCCAAATATATTTACGCCGAGCGGAGCGAGGCAAAAAAATTTTGAAGGGTTTTGAAGCCGCTGAAAGCCCAAAGAAATTATAGAACAAATGATGCAAAATCGTGCTTTCTGGGCGTTCCCAGACCCTTTCTTATTCTGAAAATGCAAGTTCTGTTTTAATAATTTTTTGACAATATTTTGGTCTCAAAGCAAAATGTATAGATTCAGCGTAAGACTTAAGTTTTTATGGACAACATCAAAAGACCAATATGAAGAATAAAGTAAAAATGTAATTCACATAGTAAAGTATGTGGCTGCTGGTTTTTTTTTTTTTTTTTTTTTTTTTTTGTTGTTTCGGCATGCAGAATTTAAATCTTTTATACCTGTAAATTATATGGGGTTTTATTCAAATTAAGTTAAAAGGGGGCTGATTATCAGTGATATAACTATGTCAAGTAATTTTTAATAACACATTTCAATTACAACTTGATGTAGCTCTTAACTAGGATACAATTTAAGGTAGTTAAGTTGTAAAATTAGCTAAAAAACTCTTAAATAAAATAAAACACATGATCAAGTTGAAAACAAATGACTAAATCACAAAAGGAATGCAACACTCAGAGAATACAGAAGGGCAATCAATGAACAAAAGACAAATTTAAAGAAACATTGATCCTGAAAAAACAGGTGCTACGTCCAAGGGAGAACAGAACTTGCTTCTTGCAAACACTCGCTGTGAAAACAATTTGATATGAAGACAAGCTTTTGGTTTTAAAATTTCCTACATAAAGGCATTTGCCTCAATGTAGTTACAGCCCTGTAATAAAAGTGAGGTAAGTGTTCCTGAGCCAATATACCTCAAGTTAAATGAAACCCATTTTCAGACATTTCAAGTATATTTAAATAATATTTATACCTTTATTATTAAAAGATTTGGGAAGTGTTTCCCGAATTTTTTTTTGAAAAAAGATGAATTTTATGAAGAATCTGGTGCCACCTCATACTTTCGAATAGCATTTATAAAATGGCTGAAAGACCTGCAGAGTTATTCATTTTCAATACATTGTAAGTCAGGTTATTTATTTTCGAACTACCACAGAACAAACCATTTATTTTTGTGATTATCAAGGCTGAGTTATTTATTTTCAAAATCCTCCTGCCCCCCCCCCCCCCCCCCCTCCCCCCCCCCCCCCCCCAGAATATCAAATGGTCGTCCCCTTACAACATACACTATGGCGAGATTTTCAAAATATACACGTACGTTTGTGCATTTATAATCTCCCAATGTTAACATCACACAAGCATTAAAAGACAATTAATACAGCAACGGATAATAATTTAAAGAAACACTTACATTTCTATGAATTCTTTTTTGCTGAAAACGGTCCTAAATAATGTCCAGGAAAATAATACAATTTCCGCGTTTGAAAAAGGCGGTCACACACGTGTGGTCATACATTAATCAGCATCATGTCACGTGATAATTTTATCAATAGATTATTGGGAGTGCTAATGCTCGTGTATCAGTTGTGTAGATGCCGCACTTTCACATGCTGTGTCTTATCTTTGATTAAAATATTTCCGGATAATAACAAATTAGTTAGTAGCATATTTCGATGAATGATAATTTAAATTTGTAAACTTTTATGATTTTGATAAACGTCCCGGTTTTGGAATATTCCTAATTTTACTAGATATTGTACCAAAAAAAATGAGAGGAAACATTGATTACAATTTTTCATAGCAAAATCCTTATTTATGAACTTTTGTTGATACACTAACAAAGGATGTACAACTTATAATGATTCACCTTTAACGCTGATGGTGGATAATTTTTTACACCGATGCATACAATTATTTTTCTGGACGAACCTCCATCGTCGACATGTCAACCAACATTTAACGTTGAAACAACATATCTATTTCAACCTAACTTCAACATTGAAAATTCAACTAAAATTGTACGTTGATTCAACTTACTTTCTGCAACATAACTTCGACGTTGCTGTTACAACGTTGAAACAACGTTGAAGCAACGTCATGACGAAATATCAACCACATTTCAACGTTGAAATGACGTTGCGTGCCGGGTGGGTAGTCTTGAATTTCGGGCATTACATTCTTAAGACGGAAATCCATGTTTGAATATCGAAAGAAGTCATATTATTAACAAATGCCTGTGAGTCTTTCGATGCTTTTAAAGAATCCTTTTAGAAACCTGTTGATCGCTATTTTTGTACTTCATTCGGATAGGGTCGAATTGTTATATTTATGAAGACGAGAATTGACGTATGAATTATTGATACAGGCAATATTGTTAATTTCAATAGGGATACTCTGATGTTCTTGAAACGGAAGAATTGTTGTAAGTACTTGAATAAATAGCTATTCGATAATACTACATTAAAATGATATATGGAAGTCATATTATGTACATAGCAATAGTACTTGCATGCAAATCTCCTAGGGATTATGATCTATGTTTGAATAAGTATTTGTATCGCATTTCTGGTGAAACATTATTTAGATGAAAATCCATAAATGAAATATAAAAAAAAAGCATATCATACATACATTTGCAAGCCATGCGAGTCTCAGTAGTTCTAGAATCCAAGACAGAAAAAAAAAAATTGGAGCATGTGTATTGCTTTGGTCTAGTTATTTGTTTTAGTATGTTTTGTTTTAATAGTGTCCTCGGTTTTGTTTTTTATTTCACCATTGTCTAAGTTAAGCGGACTGTGTTGTGCGTTCATTGTCTAGCAAAATTACTGTATAACAAATATATACCGTTCTCAAATCATAGAAATTTTGATCTGTACTACAACTAGAAGCTATTTTATATTATGAATCCTGATTAAAATATATTAGCTGTTTAATAGATAGTTCTACATCGGGATAGTCTTGAATTTCGGGCATTACATTCAAGAATAAGACGAAAATCCATGTTTGAAATATCGGAAGAACTAATATTATATACACATTGCCTGCTCGTCCTGCAAGGCTGGCCACTGGACGTTAAGCAACCAACAATCAATCAATCAATCCTGCAAGGCTGTTAAAAAATCCTATACCTGTTAAAAGCTATTTTTGTACTTCATTAGGATAGGGTCGAATTGCTAGCAAAATATTATGAAGACGAGAATTGTAGTATGAACTATTGATATAGGCAATATATATTGTTAACTGCAATAGGGATTATCGGATGTTCTAGAAACGTAAGAATTATTGTATGTACTTGAATAATAGCTATTCGATAATACTACATTAGAATTAGAATAGCATGGAAGTCATATTATATACACAGCGATAGGAGTACTTGCATGCAAATCTCCTAGATATCTATGTTTGAATAAGTATTTGTATTGAATTTCAGTCGAAATATTCTTTAGCATGTATGAACTATGAAAAAAAGCATATCAAACACACATTGCATTCTAGAATGAAGGCATGTATGAACAATGAACCATTTTATTGGTGTCCTTTTTTTTTTGTTTGTTTCAGCATAGTTTAGCAGATTGTTGTACGGTCATTGTCTTATCAGCGTGACAAATTCAGCTCAGTCAATATTTTTGAAAAATGCATTTATATATTCAGCATGTAATGTAGTAAACTTTATTGTCAATTTTACAACAAATGCAGATATATAGTTTAAGATAGTTTCAAATTTCTGACGAAACATTTTCGAGACGAGAAATCTCAAATGTTATATCGACAAAATGCAATATATTTTGTTTTGCAATACTGTTCAATATGCATGGAGTCTCTGCTTTTCTAAAATCTGAGAAATTTTGATCTGTATTTCAACAAGTAGCTATTTTGTATTATGAAGGCGGGGCACAAACGTCACACATTTCAAATATATGCATGGCTATTTACTATCATAATGTTTTGTATTACGATTTAAAAACTATTTCCAACCAATGTCACAATCACTAAACTTGTTAGTCCCATTGTTTTTTTGTTGTTGGATACCCTCGGGACCTTTAAATGAACCTCATTCAAGTATATGTTCGGCGTGCGCTGTTCAGATTCGTTATTTACAAAGACAAATAAAAGAACACATTAACACGTTATTAAGATGATAAACAACGTCAGTACCTAGAATCTATACTTCAAGACCATCATGTATTTTTTGTGAAGTTGATACGGAATATTTTCAACAAGGTCTTGGTATTTTCGATGAACTTTTTTAGAAAAAGGACGAGACGTTCTTTGAAATAACACTGGTTCATCGACTTTCTGCCCAGACACTGGTGACGTTTTATCAAGTCTGAGTAGCAGCTGCAAGCTCTTGAATAAGAATCCGTGTCCGTTCGCCCAAAATCACGTTCGCCTCCTTTCACCCTGGGTCTGTTACCAGTTTTAAAGGTTATGTTTTGAATATTTTTTTAGTCACTTTTAGGAATTTTTGGTCCTCAATGCTCTTCAACTTCGTACTTTATTTGGGCTTTTAAACATTTTTTGATTCGAGCGTCACTGATGAGTCTTTTGAAGACGAAACGCGCGACTGGCGTTAATATAAAATTTCAATCCTGGTATCTATGATGAGTTTATTTACAACCACTGGGTCGATGCCACTGCTGGTGGAGTTTTAATTCCCCGAGGGTATCACCAGCCTAGTAGTCAGCACTTCTGTGTTGACTTGAGTTATCATTGATATGTTCATAATTATAAATTAACTGTTAACAAAACTGTGAAATTTTGAATTACTAAGGCTTTTCTACCTCAGGAACATATTACCTTAGCTGTATTTGGCAAAACTTTTTGAATTTTTGGTCCTCAATGCTCTTCAACTTCGTACTTTATTTGGCCTTTTTAACATTTTTTGATGCAAGCGTCACTGATGAGTCTTTTGTAGATGAAACGCGCGTCTGGCGTAAATATAAAATTTCAATCCTGGTATCTATGATGAGTTTATTTAGTTAGTGTATTGCTATAAAATAAAGAAAATAAGTTTTTTTTTGTTTTTTTTTAAATCAAGTGACATGCTATAAACGTAAACCGGTTTTGATTTTGTAAATTATCTTGACGAATTGAATAATAAATATGGTCATGATGATCAAAGACCTAGTCATTTGTCTCCAAGACATGTAAAGATCTGTAAAAGAGAGGCGGATACCAAACGGCTATCAAATAAAGGCAACAGTAGTATACCGCTGTTCGAAATTCATAAATCGATTGAGAAAAAAACAAATCCGGGTTACAAACTATAACTGAGGGAAACGCATCAAATATAAGAGGAGAACTACGACACAACAGAAACACAACATTAAAATGTAACACACACAGAAACGAACTATAATATAACAATCGCTATTTTCCTGACTTGGTACAGGACATTTTAAGAAAAAAATGGTGGGTTGAACCTGGTTTTGTGGCTAGCCAAACCTACCGCTTTTATGGCAATGTTAAATATAACATTAAAATGACAACATTACATGACAGGACTACAATACAAATACATGGGAGAACATATAGGACAGAGAAACATACGAATAATAGCTAACAAAAGGTACATGTACCAGGTTAAAATTTAATACGCAAGACGCGTGTTTCGTCCACACAAGACTAACCAGTGACGCTCAGATAAAAAAAGTTCGAAAGCCAAAACAAGTACAAAGTTGAAGAGCATTGAGGACCAAAAGTTCCAAAAAGTTGTGCCAAATACGGCTAAGGTTATATGTCTGGGATAAGAAAATCCTTAGTATTTAGAATAATTCATACTTTTGCAAACAGTAAATTTATAAACATGACTATATAATAGATATACATGATAACACCGAAGTGGTGACTAACTACAGAATAAAAACGGATACATAAAACAACATAAACCAACACATAAAAATTCACAGCCGAGTTAGCCAAAGAGATCAATGCACAAAGTGACGTCACATTTGAATTTCTAAAAATTTCCCCAAAATAGGATAGAATTAGGATAGAATTCAAGATTAGGTTTGTAATACTCATATAACGTTTATTAATAACAATGAAAATTACAATACTAATTAATATAAAATTCATGTAGTAATTAGATAATTAATTGTATTATCTAGCTATGTCGGTGTTTCTTCTAAATCAAACTTTAAACCAAATACTAGTATATCAAACTAGTCACCATGAAATTGCTACTACAACAACGAATAAAACAAAAACAGGGCTACAAATCACAATGAAGTTCCTAACATCAATCCCCACTTTCATTAATAACCTTGTTATAAATCATTCTTGTCCAAACATACACGTGGTCAAAGTGCACAAGCTGTTAAAAAATGTCTTTCGTGTTTTCTGGTCTTTTCTATTTAAAATCTTCATTTATTTTACTTCTACCAAAACTAGCTACTTTGATTTCACTTTATACCAAAGCTAGTTATAACAGCAATCAGGATTTTCATACACATTACAGAAATACCCCCAATTAGCTTTGTAAATTATTAATTAATAGTAATCATACATAATCAACAATTAATAATTAATCATGTAATCACCCCAAAAAATATTTGATTAAACACATTCATGAGCTTTTATTCGTGAAAATATCTACATCTATATATTTATATATATATATATACATCTGATAATACATCTAATAATTCAAACTGCATTGGAATAAAAAATAGGGTGCGAAAGAACACAGGGGGCAAACGTGTGGGATGCG